CCCCATAATGGCCAACATAATTTAGGGCCATCTTTAGTTAACTGACATCAGCACTAGCAGTACTTGTGATCACCGAATTGGCAATAGCTTGACATATAAGAGGCGGCAGTCTTGTTAGCTGGATTTCTAGTTTTAATTTCTGACTGACTCATGGCCAATTTCTCTAGATCAATCCTTACCAGAGGGGATCTAACTGATACAGTAGCTGGAGTTTCTGAACTTCAACTTGATCCCCGACCACAGAACTAGCTTAAAGGGAATTTTCTTTCGGACTTCAACCAAACTAGTGGGAGATCCATGGAAGCTGAGACTAAGACAACTTACTCGACCCCGTTAAGATTAGAACTCCAGGAAAAAATGGATCCTGAGGTGCCTGAGCCACTAGTGTTGCCCGAGTGGGCTGTTGTTTTCATCTACTCCTTTCATCTACTCCTTCAGTTCCATCCTAAGACACGGCACCATTACTGTAAATCTGAAAGTTGGTTAAAGAGACAACAAGCTAGATGATAAGTAAATCCATATTGTTTATTCCTTAAGTTAGCAACATGTACATGGAGCCAGAGCTTTAACTCTGACTGAAACAAGCAATTTCAGGAGGACATTTAAACCCTAATTCAGGATGTCTGTGTTACTCAGATTCATGGTCTCCATATATGTTTAACCATAGATAAGAAAGGAATTTTCTTAATTGAATAGGTTGTAAATAAAATAGGCAAATGTCAGATTCAGGATATCTGTGTTTCCTTTACCATTAACATGACACAACATATGTCCATAAAATACCAAGATAAGAAAAGTCACATTACTCAAGGTAGTGTCCAGCTTAAGGCACCTTAGCGGTCATATACAGAAGAATGCTCTTGGTCAGCTTCAGCTGTTGACACAGGAAGGGGCATTCTTAGTTCACTCAGGGAGAAAAGATTAATTCAGGTTTTTGGCCCTTATTGGGGCTCAACTGATATTAAATTATTATCAACTCTCTCCACCTTCCCCTGTATAAATAAGTCTACCTAGAGGAGCTATACTGTCTATAAACTTCTAAAGTTACAAATAGTTGAGAAAATAATATCCTTTACATAAAACACAAACAGTAAGAGAACATAGAATATGTGACCCTGAAATTTTAATGACAACAGACAATACAATACAATGGAGGTCTTTAATTGAGGCAGAGGAGTTATAGCTCCTGGTACCCCAGAACAAGCACTGCAGTACCCAAGGAGGGGGGCTGGGAACAGGGTTTATGTAGAATACCAAGGCAGAGAGAGTGACTGGGTTTCTGGTGGGAGGGGTTGGTATCTCACAGTTTCACCAGATAATTTGTCTTGTGTACCACTACATCACGCAAAACGAAAGAAAGTTTAGGAATCTGGGGAGGGGAGAGTTTAGGAGATTTACAAAATAATCAGAGGTCAGAGTGACAATGCCTGGTCGGCCCCAGGCAATTCATTGGCCTGCTAACCTAAACCAGGTCAAGATCAGTCAGTTCTTAAGTCAATTGTGTTTGTCAAATAATATAAAACAATAGCATGAGTACTTAAAAATTTGAATGTTTGTAACTAAAATGGGTTAAGTTCAGGAATTGTTGCAGATTCTGATGTCACTTTCTTCATTTCAAGGCACTCTTTGGCCAAATATTAAAAAACATTGATCTGGAGTATTTTTCTAAGATTATGTACACTCTACCATAGACTCTTACTTTTGAACGTTTTCTGTTTTTACAATTTTCCTAAAATGAAGATTGAGGAGCTACAAAGCTCATAATGATGAGGTGGTTAGATCCCAGCTATAGGACCATATCTCTCCCCAGCTCAAAGACCCTATCTTTGGCAATAACTCCCAAGTGGGCCTAGTGAGGCAAACCATTTCTCCCTGTTACAAGAACAAGCTGACCTCTGTAGAATTTCTCTTGCATGAACATGACTATCTTGTACCAGCAGGACTATCATGTACTGATTCCCACAATTACAGTATACAATCCAGAGGTCAAGCTATAGACGTCAACTCCCACAGCTGTCTTGTACAAACAGGATGGCCTGGCCAGTAGTGAATGACGCCTGTGCTCACAGTACAGAAACTGTATGTTTCTTTAGGAGCTGACCACTCTTTGATCCCACCCCCCTCCACCACCTAATTAGTATACTTGCCACACAATTTACTGTACCTTTCCTATAAAAGCTTTAGCATCACCCCCATTAAGTTTCGAGTTCCCTAAAGAGCTCCGGGCTTTTTAAGAGCGTTAACAATAAACTTTTTGTCACTTGACTGGAAGACTGCTTCAGTCTGTGAATTCTTTCCAGACAACTCTGCCTTCAACTTTAGTATTTTAAGGTACCTGCACCCCTTAACCACATCACTAATACTACCCTTTGTCAAACTTCTACATTCCACTTAGAAAACTAAAATTCTGGCTCACAGACATGTTTCTAAGACAGTATGCTGCCTCAAAAATTCATTTTATTGTACAATGATGTTTAAACTTGCCTCACCATTGTCCTCCCACAGCTCTCATCTCCAATATTGTTGAGCACTCAGATATGGACAGTTTCAATAGTAGAAATGCTTAAATAGCTCATACTTCAAGAGAGCTGTGATTTCATTGATGTAAGTACTCCCTCCACAAGGCAAATTACAAACCCTTTTTCCTTAAGTAGCCTTTTTGGGATGATGCGTTTATTCTTTAATAATGTTGCCTTTGGACTTTCAGGTCATGTAACCAACAGGATGGCATTGTCTAATCAGACATTTTCTCCAGTCCTCAAAAACTTCCCAAAATTTTTATTATTTGAAAGAAGTAAAACAATTACATCTGTCTCTGCAGGGCAAGAAGCCAAAAAGCCATGCAAAACAGCAACTTGGTAAATCAACAACAGAGAAGGCTAATTCCTAATGTGCTCATTTAGCACCCTATTCCCCAGAGCCCAAGATCTGGCAAGCGACACAACACAATACACAAGTTTGTGATCTGGAAACCACTCAACAATTTTGCTACTGCTGCTGTTGTAGTAGTTGTTGTCTCTGCCAACCCTGCCCTGGTCCTAAGGCCACCATTCCGGGACAACAATCAGCAGACCTAAACTCTGATCTGAATCTCAATTGGATGAACTTAACATTAGAGAAGTTTTTCTTTGGGGCTTTTGGTGTAAGCAATGGACCTGATGTACTTCAAAAGCCTTTGTGTGGAACTTTTGAAATCTCCCTATAGAGGATGCCCTTGGACACTGTAAGTAAGATGAATTTTAGTGTGAGGAGGATTTTGTTATTCTTTTTAGATAATAGTTCCAGGATCCTAGATAATATTTCCCATGAATTATGGTTGAAAACATCTCCACCAAGCTTTCAAAGTGAGATATAGGGATGACATAATATATACCTGTACTGTGCTAGGTCATGATGATATTGCTAAAGTTAACCTGTGAGCTTAATGTTGGCAAGATGTCTTCTTGGTCTGTTGCCCTATAAAGCAAGTGGGCACTGCAGTCAGTGAGTGAGGAACTCGTTTAGGGGATTTGTGTAACGCATAGAGGAATGCATGTACCTGCCTTGATCAGACCCCATCAAGGCCTAGGGGATCTTGAAGGAGTTGTATTCCTATTCTCACCCGCCACTGCAAGAAGTGTGATTAGGGAATGCTGTGAAGTTTGGTGCTCCCATTATCAATATCTCTTTTTTTAAGAAGACTAGACTAGAATAAAGTAAACTTATTTAACCCCTCCGAAGCTGTCTTCCTGTCTCACCAGATCAAAAGTGAACCTGTGTTAGAACGCCTGTTAGTGTTAGAAGCCCAACAAATGGTGTGTTTACCTGTGAAACAGACACCTTTGTGGAGAGAGAAGCCAAAAGACAGCTTCTTTATTGTGTAGAATAGGTTTCATTAGTCCCAAAGGTTCACACTTTTAAGGGCATTAACTTGATTGGTGAATTCTCCTGATCAATATTTTATGCCAGAAGTCTCACACAAAGGCTATCTCTTGGTAAATTCATCAAATTAATTAGGGAATTACCCTACACATATATTGTAAAAGAATATTCAGAGAATCTTTGATTTCCTCAGTGTAGGGAGACATGTGCTGAACTTGAAAATCACAAGTCCCTGCTCTCAAGGAGCTCATAGGTACTCTTAGATCCAGGGACACTGGCCTCCTGGCTGTTGCACAAACGAAACACTCCATCTCTCAGCTCAGGGCATTTTTTCTGGCTATCCTCCAACAAACCTAGAATAAATCACCTTCCTCTTCTCTGCCTCCTGGCTTCCCTGGCTTCCTTTAAGTCCCAACTAAAATCCCATCTTGTACAGGAAGCCTTCTCCAACCCCTCTTAATTCCAGTGCCTTCCCTCTTTTAATTATTTTCTGTTTATCCTGAATATAACTTGCTTGTAAATATTTATTTCATGTTGTTCTCTCCCATTGGAATGTAAGCTCCTTGAGGACAGAGACTGTCTTTTGCCTCTTTTTGTATCCCTGGCACTTAGCACAGTGACTGACACATAATCGGTACTTATTAAATGTTTATTGAATTGAAATTTATTGAATCTAATATCCAGCAATCTGTCAATTAACATAAAGTGCCTTAACGCTGAGGAGCTCATCGTCTAATGGGAGAGATGACAGGTAAACAAACAGGATAAACTGGAAATAATCAGCAGAGGGAAGTGCAAAAGACAGTGCCTGCCCGCAAGAAGCTTACAATGGAATGGGAGAGACAACTTGCAAACAAATAAATACAAAGCAAGCTGTTCGAATTGAGGGGGATGGGGAAAGACTTCCTGTAATAGGTAGGTTTTAACAGAGGCAGGGCAAGGTCTTCCCGAGGTTGTCTTAGCTCCTCCTCTCTATGCTGCCGCCAGGGGTCGCTGTGGCCAGAGGGGAGCGTGTAAGGGCGGCAGGGGGAGAGTCGCTCGGGGAGAGGTGATGTCATCCTTACGTCTCCGACGTCAGCGTGGGCCCTGGCGCGGTGCATGCCGGGAGCTGTCAGCCGGGCCTCTAGGGCTGTGGGCCCCCTCTCCCGGTCCCTCGGCTGCCCCAGTTGCCAGGAACTCGGAGCCGGCGCAGAGCGGCCCAGCCCCAGTCAGGTAACGGGGACAGTCGGGACGCGCCCCTCAATCCCCAGTCCCGGGGTCATTCCTAAGCGCCGGAGACCAGCGTCCCCTCCATCCTCGCGGGGCCGCGGCGGGGGGCAGGGTGGCCGGGAGGGCGCCGCGGAAGGGACTTGGAGGCCGCGGGGGACCCAGAGCCTCCGCGAGGGCCCCGAAGGGCAGCGGGGGGCCGAGGTCGGAGGGGGCAGCGAGCTGTGAGAAATGAAGGAGAGGCTCCTCTCCAGGTGCCTGCCCTGGCCCCGGCGGGTAGGAAGTGGGCAGAGGAGCGTCGCTCGTCCCCCCCACCCCGCAGGTGAAGGGAGCGAGGGTAGCCCCGGTCAGCTAACACCTGTGTGGAGGCTAATGAATTCAGAATTCACAGATTCCTGGGAACTGGTTACCCGCCGTGGCTGGGTGGCTTCCCCGAGCCTCTCATTTCATTCAGGTGGATGTGGTTTCTGGCATTTGGAAACAGAGAAGTTAAGTTGTATTTACGTTTCTGTGGGGATGGTTTGGTGAAGGCAGAAGTGAGTATCTTTACCTCTTGCACGGAGGAAGGCTGATTAGCCCCAAGGGTGGCATGAGCAATGCCACACTTGGATTCCCAGTGTATTTATTTTAAATTGGACGCACCAGAGTCGTTTGATTTTCTTACTTGTTGATTTTCTGATTTCTTTCCTCCTCCCACTCTACGTATATTGAAAGGAACTTCTGGTCTGGAGTCAACCTTAAAGAACATCTCATTTAACCTCTTCCAAAGGAGGAAACGGGAGATCTAAGAGTTCTAGTAAGAGGCCTAAGGTCACAGGACTAATAGTAGAGATGGGACTTTGACCCCAGGTTTTCCTGATTTCATAATCCTGTGTTCTTTTCATGAAATCTTCTTGGCTTCCCCTCACACCACCCTTCTGTATGTTTTTTGGTCTGAACTAAGTAAAAAAAAATTAAGGCATCTTGGCATAGGAAATAAAAATATGTCCTGGAAGGCAATAAAGACCTCAGTAAAAGGCCTGCAGTTCCGACTTGTATTCTTTGTGTGACCCCACAAGTCCCTTAACCGCTTAGTTCTCTAGGCACCTGAGTTGCCCCTGCCAGCACTGAGAAAGTTTCAGTTGTGGGAATTCCTTATCCCTATATCATATGAAACTTAAAGCAAGACATAAATTTGAGGATTTTTTGACAGAAAAGAAAGACTAAAGAGAAAATTAACTATTTTAGTTTTATATTTGGAATTTGGCGTACCCAACTTTCTGAGGACTTGTGGAAAAATTATGCTATTAGCTTTGGTCAGGAAAAACAGTACCATACCAACTTAGAACATCTGTAGAAATAGACAACTTTTAGTTATGTATGCCAAGGATTGAGAATTATGGAATGGTTAAATAAAGGCTATAGCAAACTTCATTTTAACCATTAATTTCAGCCTCCACCAGCACCCAATCTTTTTACCCAGTTACTAAGCAGTAGCAAAAGGAATTAATTTAAACATCATCTCTCCCTTCTCTAGGGGTGTTTCAGTTGATTATTAAGACCCAAACCTAAGAAGGGAGAGATTGAGTATTTGTTCTTGCATAAATAGATAAAATGACTAAGTAACCAAGAATTAATTACATATAAAAATCAAAGATTACATACATTGTAATAAAATCCCTCATTTTGGTTCTTTGGTTTAGTTGTTTTTCTAAAACATCATAATGCTGTAGTATTGCTTCCTAATATGAACAGAAAGTCTACATTTTAGTGAAAGATAATAGGTACTACATTAATATTAGAATTAATATTGTTTTCTTATAACCTATTGAGTCCTTTTCATTTGTGGCAGGAGATCATTATATCTTCTCAGATTTCCTAATATCTTTAACTATAATATACAACTTTAGCTTGATTCTCCAAATAGATTTTTAACATAGTGTAAACCGAATCTTAAAATGACATGATAATGAATTGTTGGTAAATGCCTATATTTTCTCTTATGAAATTTCTTTCTTTTAAAAAATTTCAACAATATAGAATCTGATATGTGACTTGAAGAATCATTAGTAATTAATAAAATACTTTTAAAGCTTGGCTCACTGAAAATACTAAGATAAAAACTAAAATAGGGAGGAACCATCGTAGGGGAAAAAACACTGGACTAGAAGTCAGGAGACCCAGGATATAGTACAGACTTTGTCACAAACTCATGAAACCTTAATCTAGTTAGTTTCATCACTCTGGGCCTTAGTTTCTTCATCTGCAAATTGAAGAGTTGTACCAGATGATCTGTAATTCCTTTACCTCACTGAGTCTATGATATATTTGCTTGCTCGCTGAGATCTAACTACTATACAGAATTTTAGGTTTTTCGAAGTAGGTCCAAAATGAATCAATTTAAGGAATGAAGAGATTGTATCTCCTTCAATTCAAAGCATTCTGATTCAGAGTTTACAGCAACCTCCAAGAAAGACTATTTGAGAATAAACAAGTTTGGTGAAGTAGGAAGAACAGTAAACTTAAGAGTCCGAGCACTTAGAGTCTAATCCCAGCTCTTCTGTTTTATATTCTGAATCAAACACAAACTCATCAGTTTGACATTTAGAGCCCTTCATCTCCCACTCCCAACCTGCCATTTCAGGATTTGTTAGACATTATCTCCCTTTATGCATACTCATGTCCAGCTGTCTGGATGCCTGGGATGTTCTCCCTCTTTTAGAATCTCCACCTTTTAGAATCCCTAGTTTCCTTTAAGGCTCAATTTAGGCACCATCACCTATTGCATGAAGCCTTTGGTGTTGTCCCCAGCTGCTAGTGCTTCCTCATGTTCTTTTTGTCTCACATGGTAGAAGGAGAAACTGTTTTAATTTTGTCTTTGCACAGCATCTGTCACCTAGCACAGTGTCTGGCAGTCATTCAACATGAATTTATTAGGAGCTTACTGCTAGATCTATGGGGTATGAAGAAAAACAAGACCCTGTCCCTGCCCTCAAGGAGCTTGCATTCAAATGTGAAAGACAATGTGCAAATATGTATATGTATATACACACACAAGTTATATGTAGAGTAGATACTAATCTCAAGGAGAAGGCACTGGGGATGGGGGTGAGGATAGGAAATGGTGTGACTGGGAAAAACTTCCAGCAGAATATGGAATCTGAGCTGAGTCTTGAAGGAAGATAAGGAAAAGATGATGGGGAGAACATGCCAGCCATAGGAATCAGTCCATACAAAGGCATGGAGTATTTTGTAGGAAGAACTGCAAATAGACCAGTGTAATTGGATTGCATGGTGCATGAAGGGGAGTAAAGTATAAGACTGAAAAGGTAGGAAGGGGCCAGGAAGTGAATAACTTTAAATGCTAATCAGGATTTTATATTTATTCCTGGAAGGCATCACTGGAGTTTTTTGAGTAGTGAGGTGACATGATCAGTTGTATTTATGCTTTTGAAAAATCACTTTGGCAGCTGAGTGGAAGGTGAATTGGATTGGAGAAAGACTTGAGACAGGTAGACCTGGCAGTTGCAGTAGTCCAAGTGAAAAGTTTTGAGGACCAATGCGAGGGTGATTAATAAATACTAGTTGACTGATTGATTGACTAGGTATCCTTAGATGTGAGTGATATTTTGAATTCTTACTAAGAAAAGAAATGCAATCCTTAGGTTTTAATAGTGTCATTTTAGCCTAGCAGTAGCTTAATTTCTTTAATATTCAGGAAAATGTTAATTAATGGAAGTATAGATTCTATAAATCTATTATTTTTTGTGAGACCATTAAAAAGAGCTTGAGTTGTGACAAAACAATTATTTTTGAGAAATCACCCTTCTAAATTAAGGTTGAGAATAATTGCAACTTTAACTATGTAAGAACTGGGAAAATCAAACTTTTAATAATATAGGTGGAAGGGACTTAAAAAACCACTGAGTCCAAGCTATACCTGAATAAAAATCCCCTTTGTGATTTGTCTAATTGATACAACCTTTTCTTGCAGATCTCCAATGAGTAAGGTCACTGTCTCTATGAGACAGCCTGCTCTGCTTTAGGACAGCTCTAGTTGTTAGGTAGTTTTTTCTTTATATCATATGTAAATTTGCCTTCCCTCCCTCTTCTTCTAACCATCATTATTAGTTCTGCCCTCCATGTCCAAGCAGAACATTTCTAATCCCTCATCAGTAAAACAGCCCTTCAAATACTGGAAGACAGCTATCATGCTCCCCCTAAATCATCTTGTTAAAACATCCCTGGTTACTTGAACCAACATAATCTAGAGGCCCTTCACCATCTAGTTGCCTGTTTTTGGGTGTTTCTAGCTTATAAATGTCTTTGAAATACAGCACCCAGAATTGAACACAGAACTGAAGATATAGTCTGACTAGGATAGAGAATAGTGAGGCTATCACTTCCTTATTCCTTGATACTGCGGCAGAAGCTATACAAGCTAATATCACATTAACTTTTTTGGCTGCCATCACATTGAGTTTCCACTAATTAAGTTAAGTCAGCAAGCATTTAGTATGCCTACTATGTGTCAAGTATTGTGATAAGCACTGTGAAACAGAGAAAGGCAAAAGTTCTGCCCTCAAGGAACTCACAGTCTAATGAGGAAGATGACATGCAAGGACCTATATACAAGCAAGATATATACAAGATAAATTGGAGATAATCTCAGAGGGAAGGCATTAAGATTGAGGAGGAGGAGGAAAGACTTCTTTTGGTTATGAGCAGAGACTTTTGACAGAATCCAGAAGGTGGAGATTAAGAAGGAAAACATTCCAGGCATAGAAGAGAGCTGGGTGAAGATACACCCAGTTGGGAGATGGAGTGACTTCTACAAAGAACAGCAGAGAGGCCAGTGTCACTGTATTGCAGAATAAGTAGAAGGGAGTAAAGTATAAGAAGACTGGAAAAGTAGGAAGGGGTCAATTGGTGAAGGACTTTAAAAGGCAAAATCTTTTTTAAATAAACTGTCTAGTCAAGCATTTCCCATATTCTATTTTGAAGTTGATTTTTTTTAAACCTGAGGA